CGCAGGGCGCGGCTCTCTCTCTTCACATTCTCCGCGTCGCGGGGCAGACCGGATAGGGGTTGCTGCGGAGCTAGGCCGCATAGGCAAGCTGAGCTCCCTTGGGGCGCGATCCGCGTGAAGGGGGTTGCGGCCGCGCGAGCGCGCCCACTAAGGGCCGTATCTAGAGCGCCTTGTGGAACGCGATCCGCGTGTAGCGGCGCCGAGACGGACGTGGGGACGCCATGCGAAATCCCCCATGGGTGCTATAGATGGATATCCTTGCGGGGTGCGATCCGCGTCAGGGGTGTGGCGACATATGCGCAGGAACGCCATGCGACCCCTCGTGTTTGAGCCGTCGGTGGAGCTCCCTATGGGGCACGCTCCGTGTGAGGGGTGAGCCGAAGTGGGCGTGAAGACGCCATGCGAACCTTCTCTCTGTGACCGTAGGCGGAGCTCCCTTTGGGCCACGATCCCTGCCAGGGTTGTCCCGCTATGGGTGGAGCGGATGCGAACATTGTCTCTGGGGCTGCCGGTTTAGCTCTCTGTGGGACACGATCCGTTTGAGGGGTGAGTCGACGAGGAGGGACGCAATGCGAATCCTAGGAGGGAATGGGGAGGGAGAGCAGGAGCAGGAGCAGGAGTGCGGAGAGGAGGAGGACGACGAGGAGGAGGAGGCGGAGGAGGAGAAGGACGATGACGAGGGAGGGGGAGGGGGAGGGTGCCGAGGCGGGTGTTGGCTCTGCAACGCCCACATGCAGCGGACTTCGCAATGTCGCCGATCAGACGAGCGAAAGCGAGAGCCGTAAAACGTGGCGCAGTTGTGACTATAACCTAAGCGCGCGAAGCGCGCGTTGTTCTAGTACATCATATATTGCTGCAATAATGCCTTGCAACTAACACCACAAAGTCCACACACTCCCGAACATGTCGATATCACACCAAGCTCCAGAGCTCTGCAGGCATCTAGCGAACAAGCATCAGGCACCCTCGGGCGGTTTATCCGAAATCTTGCAGATTCCCTGCCCGTGCGCATTTGCTGAAATCATGGGGGGGATCATTTGAATTTGATAATTTCGCTCAGAACCCGCCTTCTCATCTCGCCACGCGGGGCATCTGCGTTAACATAGCATGCGCCCCCAGTGCGCTATCCCGTTTCAGACAATACCATGCGGGCCACACGAGCGTGGCGCCGCGCGTGCGTGTCAAATCCCGTCCGAAACCATTGGTCTTCGACGCATCAGACAATATAGCTCTCAAAGCAGCACATGGACATCAGCTGCAGGCTTTGCAAGAACAAGGGCGCTGGATTTATCGGATTTCTGCGCGCGCGAACCTCATCACCACCCGCATCACCGCCATCGCATCTCCGCCGTTATCAAGGTAAGACTTCCAGGCTTTCCTTGGTGGCGCCTGTCGCCGCCCCGCGGCCGCCCCGTACGGCGGCGGGCATTTCCAGACTGTCGAGCGGTGGCCGCCCTTGGCCACTTGGGCCCCCCTGTGCGTTTGATTGCATAGCCAGACGCTCCGCCAGTTGGCCGCCCGTGTTCGCTTCGTGCTCGCCCCAGGCGTTGGCCAGCATTTGCGGCCCGCTGTTGGCGGACATATATTGCATCTCGTAATTCGCACCCCGTAGATTACACCAACCATCTTATTATTCACAGGGTTTCCCCGTACGTCGCGCCACCTATATTGCACCACTTAAGTTGAATTCCGCGCCCATTTGTGTCTGGCCACTGACTCGTATTGCAATGTACGGTGGTTCGGCCGTATCGTACAACTTGAACACGAAAGCAGCGCATCCCAACGAAAACGGCATCGTATTCCCCCTCAGCCGTGTCAAATGCTAACTTGTGCGCGCACTCGCTTATCACAAAAAGCAATATGGGCAACCATCCGTTGCAGTAGATACAGGAAGTTCCACGCGCGCGCACAGCCGCGCGAGCACGTAAAATCCATTCAAACTCGTTTGTTCTTTCAAGTTACAATTTCGAGACATGGCTAGTCAAACTTTAAACCAAACATGCTTTGAGCCTTCCCATTTGAAAGTTGCCAGACTTTTGCGCGCGCACTCGCTGAACTCTTACACTTCGAGTTGCCAGCCGTTCTGTCAAAGCACACCATCCGGGCTACTCGCGCGCGCATGTCGAAACGTTCACCCACCATCGCTTGCCCACCAAATTCATCGAATAAAACAATTTCGACCACACTCGCACGTTTCTGCGCGCACGTCGAGATCATTTCAGGATGCCTTTGTTTTTGTGGGTGCGCATTTTCTCATCATCATCATTAACAACCGCAGCACAATAAGGATCATCGCCGTCAGCGACATCAGTGCCATCATCATCATCATCATCATCATCATCATCATCATCATCATCATCATCATCATCATCATAAGCATTCCCATCATTGCCATCATCGTCGGGATCGCCACCGCCGGTATAATCGTCGACGTCGATGTTGCCCGCATCATCATGATATCATGCCCGCCCGAATCGCCGACCCGCAATGAAGTGCCCTCGCGCCAGCACGGTCTTTGAGACGCGGTGGGAAGTTTCCATCGGTACGCTCGATCGGAAAGAGCGTGTTCTACCGCTGCTGGCGGAAAACCGGGGGGGCCACTACCGGTTCGAACCCCTCCCCCCCCCTCTGGAAAACCGGGGGGGGTCACTACCGGTTCGAACCCCTCCCCCCACCCCCCAGTTCATCATGAAAAGGGGGGGGGTCACTGCCGGTTCTAACCCCCCCCCCTCGAAAACCGAGGGGGGGTCACTACCGGTTCGAACGCCTCCCCCCCCCTCGAAAACAGAGTGGGGGTGCGAACAGTGGTGGGGACGGTGATGGTGGGGACAGTGGTGAGGGGACAGCGGGACAGTGGTGGGTGGGGGCAGTGGGACAGTGGGACAGTGGTGGGGACGGTAGTGGTGGGGACAGTGGTGAGGACAATGGTGGGAATAGTGGGGACAGTGGACAGTGGTGGGGACGGTGGTGGTGGGGACAGTAGTGTGGGGACAGTGGGAATGAGGTGGAAACAGTGGGACAGTGGAGGGTACAGTAGTGGTGGGGACAGTGGTGAAGGAGGTGGCGAGGACGGCGGCGGGACAATGGGACAGAGGTACAGTGGGGACGGTGGTGGGGACAGTAGGGACAGTGGTGGGAACAGTGGGACAGCTCAGTGGGACAGCAGAGGAGTCAGTGGGACAGTGGGGACAGTGGGGATAGTCGGGCAGTGGTTGGGGCCGTGGAGAAAGTGGGGAGAGTGGAACCGTGGTGGGAACAGTGGTGGGGACAGTGGGGACAGTGCGACAGTGGCGGGGGCACTGGTGGGGATAGTAGGGACGGTGGTGGAACCAGCGGGGACAGCGGTGGTGAGGACAGTGGTGCTGGGAACAACAGAGGGGGATGTGATGCGGACGGTGGTAGGGACCGGGAGTCGTTTGCTGGCGGTGAGTGGGGGTGGGGAGGTTCGAACCGGCAGTGACCCCCCCTCCGGTTTTCGAGGGGGGGGTTTCGAACCGGTAGTGACCCCCCTCGGTTTTCGAGGGGGAGGGGGGGGGGGAGGGGTTAGGGGAGGGGGGGGGGGGCCAGGGGGAGGGGAGGGGGGTCCAGCAGAGGGGGGGGGGATTTTCGGAAGGGGGGGGAACCCCGGGCTCCGGAGGAAAAGGGCGGCAATTTTCCACAGTAAAGCGGCGGTGGATCACGCTCTCTCCTCGATCGCGGTCGCAACACCTGTGCCGAACAAGCTGGGCGATCGACGCGTGAGCGGTCAAGGGCCAGTGTAGCCGCAGAAACGCGCCAGAAAACTTCAATCGGCAACCGCAGTCGTAGCCGAATTGGTTCTGCGCTTTGCGAAGCCAGTTGTGGGTAGAGGGTGGGGTGCCGTAGTTGCGCGATCGTTGGAGCTGACGGCTGCAGATTCAACGGTCGAATTGCGTCCTGTAGCTCGCACCGCGTAGGTTGCATCCCACGGAGTACACCGCATGGAAAGCACATCGAGAGTGTAGGCATCCATTGTCTGGGGCCCACGCCGCCAAACTTGCGATTCGACCATCGTGTACATACCCAGTTGGTGCAGTAATGGTGACAAATAGGTGCAACGGGGAAGCGTTCTGAGGACGATGGTTTCGTCTTGAAGTTTTCAGTCGTCTGCGAGCATCTCGTGGTGTGGCTTCAAGCAGGCCGTAGCAGTCGGTCCGCGTGTCATTACTAGCTGCTCCAAAAACAGTCACTAGGCGAGTTGCCCTGATCTCAGATGTATCGCAGCATGCACTCACTCTCTGGGAGCCTCTTGGACGCATCCTGGGACCATCGTTTGGCCCTAGTCACGTCTCTCGGGGCCTTTTTGGAGGCTTTTGGTGCTGTCTTGGGGCCCTCTTGGGGCCCCCATTGGAGATGTCTTGGGGCCGGTTGGATTGTTTTGTGGTCCGATTGGGCCTTCGTAGGTCCCTCGTGCGAGCCTCTTCGGCCGTCTTTGCGAGCCTCTTCGGCCGTCTTCGGCTGCCTGAATTGCACGCAGGCGATAACGTTGAAGTGCTATGGAAATGTAGGATCATCAGTGTGTGTTGGTTCAGGGCCCTCCTCGGGATCCTCTTCGGGCTCCCTAGGGCCGTTTAGGGGGCCTGCTGGGTCCACTTGCGGCCATCTTGGGCCGTCTTGGGGCAATCTCGAGCCGTCTTGAGGCGTCCTTGGGCCCCCTAGCAGACCCAAGAAACCACACTCATGGGTTTCCTCATGGTTGTCCGATGTTTTGAGCCCAAGACGGGGGGACATCTTTGGTCGGGTGGTCGACAGATGTGGCGTAGCGCTGGGGAGGGTGAGGAGTGCGACCGAGTAATCTTAAACGAAAGCACGTCGTTAATACAAGATGTGTGACACATGTGATGGCGCGGTCAGGGGTCGGCGAAGTTGAAGTGCTTACGGGTGGTCGGCCGCTATCGTTGGTCATCCGGTATTTTTCGTCACCATTTCTCGATTGTTGGCGTGCGCCCATGTTTTTGCCCCAGCCAGACACACTTGCCAAGGTTGTTCAGCGGAGCAAAGTACATCCACAGCGTGCCGACAACCGCGCAGGAACGATGTGCCCTGCTCACCCTGCTTTCATTGTAGCCTCGAAGCGGATGTGCTCAATCCGTCGCAATAGAGATGTTACATGGTGTTCAGTTGTTCTGATTGTTGCATGGTGTGATGGTTCAATATGCAAGTCTAGTGATCCTATTCTTCAGCACGAATCATCAGCACGTATCGCAACTCGCTTGCTGTGTGAATGCGAAGGCTGACTCGAATGGGTAAGGTCGGAACGGTCTGAAGTGTGACTTGCCGGTACGTGTAACATTTGCGGTGGCCCGCCAAGTGATTTTAGTGTGATTGTTCAAGCGTTTTCTCGGAGCGACTTCGGCCGTCGACAGGAGGAATCAGATGACACGGAGGAGGAGGTGGAGGGGGTAGGAGGAGTGGGATGAGTTGGGGAGGGACGGGGTGTAGGACACGGGAGGATAAGACGGAGGAGAGGAGGAGAGGAGGGAGGGGCCAGGGGCAAGCTAGGTGCGTTCGCGTCATATCTGACGTCCTAACCCTCCCTCCCAATCCTTGCCATGGCGTAGATCTCCGCTCTATTCGCACAGTCGGATGTCGCAGCATGGCATAGCATTCAATGGCATAGCATGGTGGTGAAGATCAACGCGTAGCACGACATAGCATGGCGTGGCGACGCCCCAACGTGCGGGGGCTTTTGCGGTCCAAAAAATCAGCGAATCGACACCGAATGTGTAACCACTTCCGATGACTGTTTCGGGGTGCCATTTTCTAGATCTTGGGGCCTATTTGGAAGGACCCAAGACCATGCCGCGGCATAGCGCTGGAAGCAATGACGCCAGCGCTTCAGCGGAAACACGATCCGGAACGAGCGGAAGCGCGGAAATGAGGCCAGCGTTGCAGCGGGAGCACGATTCGGAACAAGCGGTAGCCCGAACTTGAGGCCAGCGCTACAGCGAGAGCAGCATTTTGAACAAAACCAAAGCGAGAACCCAACTCCCGGGAATCTTGTGCATAAAACACCAGCACGCGGAGGGGGGCCGAGAGGGCAGGAGGCAAAGTGCTGGGAGGAGGAGGAGGAGGAGGAGGAGGAGGAGGAGGAGCAGGAGCAGGAGCAGGAGCAGGAGCAGGAGCAGGAGCAGGAGCAGGAGCAGGAGCAGGAGGAGGTGTAGGAGGAGGTGTAGGAGGAGGAGGAGGAGGAGGAGGAGGAAGAGGAGGAGGAGGAGGAGGAAGAGGAGGAGGAGGAGGAGGAGGAGGAGGGGGGGGGGAAGTGGAGAGGGGAAGGAACGGACGGGGCGACGAAAAAGGGGAGCTGGAAGGCGCAGGGAGGCATGATGAGCTGGCTTGCGCGCGCCGTCCTGCGGGGGCTCGAGCCAGTTGGCGGCCGTCCCGCCGAAGGCAGGATCATGAGCCAGGAGGCGGGCTCCCCGTCCTCGTCGCTCGTCGTCGTCGTCCTCCCCGTCCCCCTCCTCCCTCCTCCTCCTCCCTCCCCCTCCTCACGCTCGCATTCCTCCTCCTCTCAAGGAATTTCGGGTCGAGCATTTTGCGCGCGCCCGAGAGCCCAAAACCTTCCAATGGGTGCTTGGGGGGCGCGAGGCCACCTTCGCTTTGTTCCAAAGGCGCTCCTCGCGGCGAATATGGGCAATCTTTTATACAGCTACGGGATGGCCACCAAGGGTGGCAGCGGTTCTCGCCCCTGGAGCACCTGCAAGGCATGCCATCGGCACGAGTGGAACGACGTGCTGATCCAGCAGGACTGCCGTTGTGGAGGTTGCAACCGCCAGGTCAAGTTGCACAAGCCGAAGAGCGGTGGCGGCAAGGCCAACGGCAAGGGGGCTTCCCCAGGGTTTGGTGCCTGCAGCGGAGGCTCCAACCAGCTCCCGCTCGCCTTGCAGGCCCCGCCCGCCTCTCAGGAACAGCTCCTCAGCCAGGCGGTCGCGGGACTGAAGGACACCGTGGTGCGCGCGGCCCTCGCCTCGGCGCTGCAGAAGCAGCAGCAGCAGGCGCAGCCCCCGCCCGCGGAGAAGATCTCTCCAGCGGAGGCGGCGCGCAGGGCCGAGGGCGCCTGGCGCGACGCCAACGCCAAGTACGACCAAGCCTTGGCTCAGGTGTCAAGGTGCAAGGAGCAGCTCGCGCGGGCGGAGGAACGGGAACGTGAGACCGTTCGCCAGTTCGCCGCCGCCGAGCTGGGCAAGAGCGTGGCCGCCAAGGCGCTGGCGGCCAGGATGGGGCTCAGTGCCGGGCAGTCTTCCCAGCCGAAGAAGGAGGAGGAGGAGGAGGAGGAGGAGGAGGAGGAGGAGGAGGAGGAGGAGCACAGCAGTCAGCAGTTGTTCACCGTGACCTGGGACACGGATTTTTCCAGCAGCTGGACGCGGGCCTCTTCGAGCGCGACGACTCCGAGAGGCAGGAGCTCAAGCGCTTAGAGGCCGAGCTCCTCGACACCAAGAAGACGATGTCGGCCCGCAGTGGCGAGGTCACAGCCTGGCGGGCCCGCGCGCTCGAGATGCAGTCCATCATCCGCGAGCGTATGGCGAAGAAGAGGAAGGGCGAGGACGGTGTGCAGCATGGGGGCGCCCCAGCGGCACCGGCGCCACCACCCACCGCCCCGCCGCCTGGGCCCGCCGCGGAGGTCTCGCCCGAGAAGACGAGGTGAAGCAGCGGGCCGCTCAATCCGCGGCGAAGGCGGCCTCGGCAGCTGCCGCCGCGCCAGCGGGAGGGGGCTCCCCAGGCGCCGTGGCGAGCCGAGGCGGCCGCCAAGTGACCCACGCTTCGGCCTGGCCTCCAGGGGGGACCACGCTTGGTGAGCAGCCCTCTCCGTGCTCTCACAAGTCTTTTGAGGGAATCGAGGCTGCCAGGCAGCCGTTCACTACTTCACGGAGTTCTTGCTCGGCACCTTCCGCAGCACCGATGAAGCCTCGAGAGATCGAGGCCAGAGCTGGCGCTGCAAAGACTGCCCCGCAGTCTGTTTGCCAAGTTTCTAGCAGCCAACTTTCGGTTGGGGAAAGTTCAGTTGCGCGGGTCTTCTTCAGTGTCATTACCATTCTCGCGACAAAGAGCTGGAAGTATCTCCAGCATCTCAAGGCTTCAGGCACGTTTCAGCAATTCTCTCTTGGCGAATCTCACGTCGGAAAAGCCACAGGATTGCGATGGGAAGAGCGTTTTCGCGCAGCCAAGTTACGCGCGTTTGTCAATCTCGCTCCTGAGTCGGGCACAAAGTGCTCCACCGCTGCAGGCGTAGAGCGAGCCGACGAGGGAGGGGGGATTTTCTTGTGTGATGGCCACAGGCAAGTGCATCATCTCTCTTGCCAGCAGCAGGCCATGGCGCCCCTTTGTGCAGATGGATCCCCCTCCTCCTGCGGTGGCTTCCCCCCTGTCCTCCTTCATCTGCAAGGGGGCAGCGCGGTCTTGATTGCATTATATGGCCTGTGCTCCCAGGGCTTCAGTGGCGACGACCTCCGCCGATTCGCCCGACTGGGGGCCCTCTTCCAACTCCTCCAACTCCCCTGGGTCGCTTTGGGAGATTTCAACTTCTCCCCGCGAGATTTAGACAGGAGCGGATTTCTCGCGAAGGTTGGAGGGCCGATCATCCAGCTCCCCGCCGAGACCACCTGCGCCGGGTCAGGAGGCGCTTCCTTGATCGATTATGCGGTGGTCTCTCAGTCTGCTCTTCCGTACATACTCGCCCCCCCCCCCATCGACGACGCCCCGTGGAAACCCCGCGCGGCGCTCGCCCTCCAGCTGCGAGGGCAAGGCGCCCATCTCGCCACCCGCCCCCATTCTCCCCCCCGAACGCCCCCGCCCCAAAAACACAAAAACAGCGCCCCAAAACCGCGGGCCAGCCGGGCCCCATGGCCCCCCGCGCCCGCGCCGAGCAGCTCGCCCGCAAGGTTTCCGCCCGAGCTAGGCGCGCCGCTTCTGCGCAGGAGTTGCACGGGGATTCGCCGGAGGGGGTGGCTGGAAGGAAGGGGGGTGCGATCCTGTATCAGTTTCAGTCAGTTTAGCGAATGATGCTAGTCAGCCGTCGCCTGATGGGGCCCCTCTAGACACGGGTCTTCAAGGGGGCGCCCAGTTTGAGTTCTGGGGCGAGGATATCGACCCATGCGCTGATTTCCAACTTTGTCGGTTCCCACCCCTCCCCCCCTCGCCCCTCGAGTGGCGTCTCGGGCGACGGCTCCGCGGATCGCGGGGGCCCCCAGTCGGGCCCTGCGAGCTACCCCGCCGCTAGTTCTGACGGGGGCCCGAAGGGCGATGCAGCGGCCCCCCCGGCCAGACGCCCCTGGGGCCCAGCACTTCACCGAGCGGATGCGACGCTTCAGCGGTTGCTAACCCCGCCTTTGATCTCCCCGCATCCATGCGGGGGAGGGCTCAGGCCCCCTTCGGTGTCGCGCCCCCGAACACTCTCCGATGTTCGGGTTCCCGCGCGGGCTACCATTGCCTACCGCGTGGGCCAAGATTACGTTTTACCCGTTAGCAGTGCTTTCCGCGCGTGGATTCAGTCAGCCGGGAAATGTGTTCGGATGCATCAACAGGTTGAGGGGCGCCCCAGACTGTCGAGAGCCCGCGGCATTCGGTTGGTCGCCAGGGAGGTTCGGCAGTCTGATCATCCTCGGGGCATGCCTGTCCTCGACGCGGTCTCTAGCTGGCGGGCCAGGGCCCGCGCAATGGTCAGCAAGCTCGCTCGCCGCGTTCGTCGCGGGAACGGTGCTCAGCAGGTCGCCGCCCTCATCGTGCGCGGCGCCAAGCTGCCGGGCCAAGCCCCGCCTGGGATCGGAGCTTCTCTCGGCGAGCGGTCGGGCGAGCAGTCGCGGGGTGATTGGCAGCAGTTTTTTCAATCGCTCGGGCGATGCTAGCGCGGATGATCTGGAGACCAGAGAGGCGGATTTGTCACGTCTCATGCTGCGCCCCCAGGCTCGGGCGATGGCATCGTCTTTGTCCGATTTCAAGAAGTGGATTACTCAGCGCGACGGTGCAGGGGCGCTTATCAAGGCGCCCAAGGATGAGCCGCCCCTCGCGGACGAGTTGGACACCCCCGGAGGAGT